CGTTTCTTTGACATTTGAAGAACTTTGCATTTAGAGGTACTAAATTCCATTTCAAAGTCAATGCTCCAATTATGTATACCATCTATATCGGCTTGCAAATTGAGATGTGATAAGGAACTGTCGATACAGTGATAAAGTTTAGAGTCGTCAGCGAAAAGCGCAATTGTCGAGTCATTCTCTACATAGTTAGGCATATCGTTAGCATAGACAAGGAAAAGCAGGGGTCCCAGAATAGATCCTTGCGGAATGCCAGATGTTACAGGTAGCCAAGATGAAAATGAGCCATTAATTACCACACGTTGCATTCTATTAGATAAGTACGACCTGAACCAATTCAAAAGGGACCCTGTTATTCCATAGACTTCAAGCCTTGACAGTAGACGCAGATGAGAAACCTTATCAAAGGCTTTGGAAAGGTCCAAGTGGACGACATGAACTTCGTTGCCACTAGCTATCTTACCCAAGATGTCGTTGTAAACCTCTAACAATTGAGTGACTGTACTTCTTCCCTTGAGAAAGCCGTGCTGGAGATGGTAAAATGACTTCTCGAGATGTAAAAAGCAATGGCTATAAACACAACGTTCAAGGACCTTGGACAATATTGGAAGAAGGGAAACAGGTCTGTAGTTGTCAGGGAGAGTTGCGTCCTGTTTCTGTTTAAAGACTGGATTTGTTTGCTCGTTTCCACAAATTCGGGAATATGCCCAGTGATAGAGTTGGCAGTTTGGCAATGGCGGAGGATTGTTGTTTGTGTCCTTTTACACGAGTATGTAATTGTCCGCGTGTGTAACCTACATAACCCGCCATCTTAGGGACCATTCATTATTTATGGGAGGGGGTGGGCTGGCAAGATTTTCAGTGAGACTAAACAAAATATCCTGATCCTGCTCTGTAAGAATCAAAAATGTCATGACCCCTCTAGTTGTAATTGCAAAAATAGGTAGCCCGCTATTAATAAGACTATCAAAGCAGCTAGGTTAAAAGAAGTGAAAAATATATTTAATAGATTTAATTTTATTGCAAAAACACCTTAACAATACAGTTTTAGAGTTTAAAATCCAAAGGTGATACGAAATGGATAACATAATATAAGAGATATCCTATGGTACTGTGTCCAGCTTGGTATGCTTGAAGATGAATAGCTTTCCAGTGTATGCAAAGTTAGCTATTGTTCCCTATATCTTGTCTGGCGGGTAGTAGAAATGTTCTACAAACTTAAACCCACATTTGTAGATGATATGTAACAACAAAAAGCTTTTGATCCTCCTATATTATTCCCAAATTTTTCTAATGACCCCCCATTTTAGTTCCTGAATTTATCATGACCCCCCTATTATTCTTGCCAGCCCTCCCCCCGCGATAAATAATGAAGGCTCCCTTAATATGTCAGATCCTCCAAAGAAGGAATGTTTGTGGTTCTGTTTTGCAGAGATACTTCAGATGGGGTTTAATGAAGTGAAGGATAATTGGAACACTCATTACATTAGAAAATCGAGGTTGGAGACAGTCTCTGGAAGGCCTGATTCTCTGTATACAATACCCGAATTTCATGGAGGGGTTGATGACCTATGGTTTCTGTTGAGAATGCTGACTTGAATTATGTTTATTTTTATCTGGTGAAAGTCCGTACTGTTCGGACCAATTACCACAACTACTTTAAATATGAAGTTAATGAACTTGGAAAAACCTCGTGACTGGAAAGAGGCTTTTCCACACTATCAAAAAATTACAGATGCAGCTGTCAATGGATATTAATGCAGTAGATGTAAATTCAATCTGCACATGAAATTGGATTTCTGCCAATATAGACATTTTATTTCAAAGAGACCTTGTGTCAGAAAACATGCTAAAAAGAGTAGTTTTTGGTTGTGGAACA